CAGGCTGCCAGTAGCGGAGCGTGAGCACTTAACCGCTAAGCCACAGGGCCGGCCCTCATTCACTTTTAATTCCAGCTCCTTCCCCAGGTTTGTGTTGTGTGAATGTTCTCTGTTGGTATATGAATGTCCTTTTTTTGTATCTTGGGGGGGGAGTCTAAGGGGAGAGCTCACTCTGCCATGATGCTGACATCACTCCTCAAAATTGTTGTAATTCTTAACACCCTTGTCTCCTATTCTAAGTGTCCCAGTGTAGGCTGGATGGTCACTTTGGAGTGGTGAGGATTGTGGAGGAAATTATCTCAATGGGTGGCTGGTTGACTCAGATGATCTTTAAAGGATCTACTCGTTTTAGTTTTGTAGGATGCTTAGCTATCACAGGGTCTACTCCCACAAGAGACCAATTCCCCCATGGGAGAGGGGGGAATGGGTCCCAAGACCTTTCTGGGGATAGATTTCCTAGAAACTAGATGTAGATGAATACAAGAGAAAAGGTTCATTTAGAATCTCTTAGGGGCTGCCTGGTGGCGCAGCGGTTAAGTGTGTGTGCTCCGCTGCGGCAGCCCAGGGTTTGCAGGTTTGGATCCCAGGCGCGCGCTGACGCACTGCTTGTTAAGCCATGCTGTGGCAGTGTCTCATATAAAGTAGAGGAAGATGGGCATGGATGTTAGCCCAGGGCCAGTCTTCCTCAAGAAAAAAGGGGAGGATTGGCATCAGATGTTAGCTCAGGGCTAGTCCTCCTCACAAAAACAAAAAAAGAATCCCTTAGAATTCCTTAACAATTAGTCCTAATAGGTGTGACTAATTGGATTTTCCAAAGATGGCTCTGCCAATATATCCCATCCCACACGCTCCTCTAATGTGACATTGATGTTCCTCCATTGAGAGGTGTCTCTCCTCGAATATGAGCAGCCATATTGACTCACTTTTAACAAACAGAATATATTGGAAGTAAGTGATTTTGTGTGACTTTCAAGGTAAAGTCATAAAAGTCAGTACAGCTTCCATGTGGTGCACACACACTTGCTCTCGATGCTTTCCCAGGTACCATGTTATAAGGAAGCCCAGGTCACACGTAGTGTTCCGGCCCCAGATATGATCTCAGCCAAGAGCCGGCAACAACTGCAAACATGTGAGTGAGGGAGCTTTCAGATGATTCCAGGCGTCAAGCTGGCCCAGGTGATGCCAAGTGCAAGAGATGAGCTGTCCCCACTGAGCTCTACCCACATTACAGATTTGTGAGCAAAATAAATGCGGTTGTTGTTTAAAACCACCATGTTTTGGGTGATTTGTTACACAGCCCTAGTAACTGGAGCAGAGGGTAACTTTACCAGCAGCACAATTCCATGTTACCCATAAACTTGGATTCCCAGGCTAACTCCATTCCAAGCCTTCCCTCCAAAAAGACCTCAGGGAGCCCTACTGCTGAACAGGAATTTGTGTTGAGGGGTTACCATGGCAACCCTGTACCCTTACCCACAACTTCCTTATTAGGGTTTTGCTTGAACATGCCCAATTCTGCCTCTTCTGCTGGGAGGTACATGTAATCATCATTAGTTAATTTTTCCAGGCTTTTGTTCCCCAGAATTAAAATGACCTTCATTTGTAACAAGTCTAAGTAGTTGAAGAAACAGAATAATCTGTTCTGCTTCATTTCCCCTATAAACAGAACTCTTGATACTCAGTGGCAGCTCTTCTGTTGTGTCAAAGGCTTCACCTCTATTCCTAAAAGTTGGGTCTAGACTCTGACAGTGAAATTCACAAATGAAGGCAAGGGAACTCAGCAATCATTTCCCCCTATACTATAAATTAAAACTAAACGGAATTGGCTCTTGGTTTATTCTTGCAGTTAGAAAAGCATTTCAATGCTTGCATCTGTAGAAACATGACAAAAATTACAAGACCATGAAAGTCAGTCGGTTTAGCTGGTGGACTTGCAGTGGAATGAAAGCTCCATGAGGGAACCTGTCTGTTTTAGTTATCATTATATCCCCAATGCTTGGCACATAGTTGGCACTCAATAAATCTCTGCTAAATGAATGAATGAATGAATGGCCATATGAGTTTGTTTTTTTTCAACTTTCCAAAGCCCCAGTATGTAGTTGTATATTCTAGTTGTAAGTCCTTCTAGTTCTTCTATGTGAGCTGCCACAGCATGGCTACTGACAGATGAGTGGTGTGGTTCTGCGCCCACGAACCAAGCCCAGGCCACTGAACTGGAGTGTGCCAAACTTTAACCAATAGGCCATCAGGGCTGGCTCAGCTGTATGAGTTTTGAAACAAGTACTGCTTCAACCAGCTATGCAAGCCTTACTTTATGGAGTAAATGTGTGACTCCCTGTGCCTAGGCAGACCCACAAGACATGGCCACAATTAAAACAAATTAGTTCTGCCGAACACAAGAGGAGCCTGGGGTTAAATTAATTAAATAAGGATGCCATTGGACTGAGGTGGCTTTAATGCCTTAGCAGCCAATGAAAGCAAACCAAAAACTAAGCCTGTAAATTCCTCAAGGTTAAGAAATCAAAACCTCAGGACACCCAATCACAAATAGCCAACAAGGCTCTCCCAAATAAGGCAATCACTTAAGCTACAGCCAATCAAATAATTTCCTTGCTTTGCTTCCACCTCTTCTCCAAAAGTCTTTCCCCTGGTTCCCGTCGGTGGAGCACTCCTAACCACTTCCAGTTTGGTACTGCCCAATTCAAATAGATTTTTGCTCAAATAAACTCTTAAAATTTTTAGTATGCCTCAATTTACTTTTTAACACTGGGGATATATTAAGAATAACTAAGAATTATAAAAATGTGGTACCTGCGTAGTCTGGATGATAGTCAAGTCGTTCATATGAGAAATTCCTGCTCCCATGGCAGCCCGAAGGCCAGCTGTCCCAAACTCCATTCGAGCCCCAAAGCATTTTTGTAGTTCTTCTTTATTACCTTCTGCTATTAGTTGTTTCACGGCCTGTAAAGTTAAAGGATTCTGCAAAACAGAAATGTATATAACAGATATAGCCAGGTGAATAAGAGAATGAAAAATCTGAAATATAAAAAAAACCCACAATAATTCTAACCTATAAAAAATATATACAGGCTTTTCAATTTTCTGATGCTTTTGAAATCTGAAGTCAGTTATTGAGAATTATAGTGTGTGATATTGTGATATAAGAAATACATTTTTGGTTTCTGTCCCTGGTTTCTGGCACAGAGCTTATAAAATCTTCGGAATTTCCTGAGTAATTAGGGAGAGAGGAATAGCTTTTCATTTATAATAAGCCCTTTTCAGGCGTACCTGAGTTTATGCTAATGAGGTAACTCTTGGAGGATGGGGGCTGGTTGCCAGAGGAATCAACTAAGTGATTAGAGGGTTGGAACTCTCAGCCCCACGCCCTGACCTCCAGGGAGGGGAGAGGGGCTGGAGATTAAGTTCAATCACCAATGGCCAATGATTTAATCAATCATGTCCATGTAATAGAACCTCCATAAAAACCCTAAATAACAGGGCCTGGAGAGCTTCCAGGCTGGTGAAGACATCAGGTGCTGGTGCACCTGGAGAGGACTTGGAAGCTCTGTGCCCCTTCCCATAGACCTTGCCCTATGCATCTCTTCCATTGGCTCTTCCTGAGTTGTGACCGTTATAATAAAACTGATAATAGTAACTAAAGTGATATCCTGAGTTCTGTGAGCTGTTCCAGCAAATTCTCAAATCCTAGAAGGGGGTCATGGGAACCCTTGATTTACCACTGGTTGGTCAGAAGTACAGGTAACAACCTGGGACTTGTGACTGGCATCTGAATCGGGGCAGTCTTGTGGGACTGAGCCCTTAACCTGGGGGCTCTGAGCTAACTCCAGGTAGTTAGTGTCTGAACTGAATTAAATTGTAGGACACCTAGTTGGTGTCCACAGAGAACTGGAAAATTGCTTGGTGTGGAAAACCCACACATTTGGTGTCAGAAGTGTTGTGAGTAGAAGGAAATAGTTTTTCCTTTATAATGTAAGTATTATTTTCTTTCCTAACAAGGCAAGCACTTTTGGAGAAATGGAACGAACATACAGGTTTTGGGTTCTAACACCCAGAATGGAATCCCAGCCACACCATCACTTACTCATTCTATGCACTTGGGCAGACAACATAGCTTCTTGAATTCTCGGTTTCCTCGTCTGTAAAATGGGAACAGTCTAGAACCTCCCTTATGAGGTGGTTTACATTAAATTAATACAAAACTTCTTTCTCTGCCTGGCATTTAGTTGTAATCAAATGTTCATTTTCTTCCCTAATGTCTTCAGATTTTCCCAGAGAGTGATGATTATATAATTTAATATATAAAATCTTACTTTTGTAGTGTTTTAGAATTTGTACCATGCTTTCACATACCTGGTCAAATTTAATCTCGTGATTAAAGAAGCAGGCAAATAACAAAAACCACAGTTTACAGATGGGGAAGCCTCAGATATTAAGCGAATTGCTTAAACTGCATGATAAGCATAAATTCAGTGCCTTTTCTATTACATTAACTGCTTCAAATAGAGACTCACACAAATCATTTAAGTTCACTTTACATTGCCCTATTTTCTTTGTACAATAGTTGCAGAAAATGTTAAGAATGGAGAAAAAATGACAATCACATTAATTGCAAATTAGACTTTTAAATTAAGAATTCAGAGGAACAAGATATAGTAAGTACTATATTTCTATCTTACAGTCATCATCCAACAAGATGAACATGCAGGCAAGATGTGGCCACATCATTAAACTCTGAAATGCTATTGCAATAAAACCTTGGCTTTCTGGCATTAAGCCCATATTTCCAGATTGTTCCAGATTCAAGAGGAATCAAGTAAAAGCGCATCTTTCAGGTTAAGAGCAACAGACACTGATCACAGAGCACAATCTACCAATTGGATTGTCAGGTGCCCCCAAGAGAGGGTTCAGATCTGGAACACAATGAGGTTCAATACATATTTGCTGAGTGAATGAGAAAACAGACTTCAAGGTCACACCCAATATCCAGTGATTCTCTCATTCACAGTGTAGATTTGGAAAATCCTAATTGGCCTTCGACATCTATAAAAGACCAAAGAGCCTGAGAGAAACCAAAGGAGGCAGAGAGAGAGAATGAAAAGTCAAGAGAGCAAGAGAGATCAGAATCAGACGTGGGAGTGACCAAAGCTGACAGCAGCGAAAGGCACAGGGATGAAGGCACAGTGGAAATGCGGAGGGCACGGGCCCGGCACCTTGACCCCCCTTGGGGGAATCAGACCAGAGGGCTGCAATGCTTTTAGCTGGCAGGAAGTTCCTGCCTGGTGCCTGTCTCAAACCAAAGAAGAAATTGAGAGGAAAGAACAAAAGAAGTGGTAGAAATTTAAAAATAAAAAGGACAACACCCCCCCCACCTCTATCCAGGGAGGCACTACCTCTCTATATACAAATACAAATTTTGTGCAAGTTAGGTTTTTATTTCTTCAAAGGGAAAGTTTTATGGAACAATTCATGACCAACTATGACTTTACAAGATTTCTACACCCTGGGGCTGGCCGTGGCCTAGTGGTTGAGTTTGGTGCGCTGTGCTTCGGCAATCCAGGTTTGGTTCCTGGGCAAAGACCTACCCTACTCATCGGTGACCCACATACAAAATAGAGGAAGACTGGCACAAATGTTAGCTCAAGGCAAGTCTTCCTTAGCAAAAAAAATTCTACACACTGTAAGTTACTAAGTTATCAGAAATTGAAACATTTTTCTTCCCTAAAGAATCACAAGGCTGTCTTTTCAGGACAAGAAAAACCACCCAAGGAGTTGCCAACAGAAGCTGGAAACAGGATGTGCTGACATTTCAAGTACAGGGACTGGAGGGTAAGGAGGAAAACCTGCCCCTGCTGACAGGACTTGCAACCTCCTTCATTTATTCAACAAATTATTTTAGGTATCTACTAGGAGTAGTGCACTGTGTCAGGCCCTATAAACCATGCAAGTTACTGAGGGAGCGGACAGGACTGGTTATACAATTTGCTGGGGCCCAGTGCCAACTGAAAATGTGGGACCCCTTGTTCAACAATTTTTAAGAATTTTAAGACAGGACAGCAGAATATTAAACCAAGTGCTGGGCCCTCCTAGAACGGGTCCTGTGCCACTGAACAGAGCTCGTGCATTTGAAGTCAGTCCTGGGGACAAACATTAAACAAATAAACCTACAAGCAAGTTTTTGTTTGTTTGTTTGTTTGTTTGTTTTGACCAATCGCAGTAATAACTATGAAGGAAAAGAACAGGAACAGAGAGAGTATTAGGGAGAATTTACCACTGGGAGCCAGGGAAGACCTCTCCACGTAAGCTACATTTAAGTTCAGACCCCAAAACATGAGTAACAACATGAGAAACAAGTTCAGCAGAAGAGCGCAGAAAGGAACTTTCTGGAAAAACAAACAGTATGCCCGAAGTAAGGAACAACTGGGAAGGAGGAACTCAAGATAGAAAGGAGAGAGGAAGTGATGTCCGGAGCTGGGTCCCTGATTCTTTCTTTGTTCCGGCATCTAAGAGAATGAAGAGGAGAAAAGCTAGTGGCGCTGTGTCCAGGGGGTTTCCTCTCATCTCAGCAAAGTCAGAGCCCAGTCGCGAGGTCCCATGTTTGAACCAAGCAGCAGGGAGAGGTGGATGGGAATGCTGCTCTGCAGAGTTCCCAGGAGCAAAAGAAATAGGCGGGACGGAACAATTCTGTGTCAGCGGGGCATGCACAGCCGCCTGCTGAGGACAAGCCGGCGGTCTGGGTGACAGGAGAGCGTCCACGCCTCAATTAGGCAAGACCCCAGAGCCGGGCCGCGTTCAGACCTGCCCCGGCTCGCTCCTCCACTCCCGGACTTGCACCGCGGCCGGTCGGAAGGCTGGTTTTGTCCCGGGACAACCTTTCTCAGCCAAACTCCGAATCTGCCACAGGCCGGCGGGACCCGGGGAGGCCGGGCCGCCGCCACGTCCTCCTCCTCCGTCTTCCCGTGGGACCCGCGCGGCGCCGCGGCCGGGGAGGGGAGGGAAGCAAGGAAGCGCAGGCAGCGGCCCCCGCCGCGGGAAAGGCCGCGCCCGGGGAGCAGCCAGAGGACCCCGCACCTGCCCCGGGCGCTCCCAGCCCCCCGCGCCCCGCACCTTGTCCCACTGCAGCCACCGGGCCGTCTCCTGGTCCAGCCGGGTGTCCATGCCGGCGCCGCCGCCTCCCGGAGCCGCCGTGGCCGCCGCCACCATCCCCGCGCCGCCACCACCCAGTGCAGGAGGAGGCGCGACCGCCCTTCCGACAGGGCGGGGAGACGAGCAGGCGGGGCGGGGGGAAGCGGCCACTGAGCCAGCGCGTCCCGGAGGGAACGGCGCGCTCCGCCCTGAGCACGCCTCCTTGCGGTTCCCCGGCGCGCCTCTGGGGCTGCAGAGTGGAAGAGTGGCGTGGGGGGCTGGGGGACGCTGAGTCTTGACCCGCGTCTATGCAAGGTCCCGAGGTCACCCCCATTCATACCACAGCTAGTCACTGAGTTGCTTCTGTGCGCCTCGCACCATGTCAGGCGGACGAGTAGACTCAGATAGGAGCCTAAAAATTATGTAGACATTCTGAGGGTCAAGAACAACCGAGAAAAATCTTGAAAAATAACAAAATGGGAGGATTAAGATGGGAGAACAAAATGGGAGAGTCCAGAAACAAAACAGCACGGGTACGGACAGTTTATTTCAGCGGTGGACTGCAGAGCAAGGGGAAAGGACTCATTTTCACTTAATGCTGCTTGGTCAACTGGACATCCGTGTAGGAAAAAGAAAAAAGAAACTTGAAACCCTATCTCACATCACATACAAATATGCATTCCAGGTCAATTTTAGGTGTAAGTGTGAAAGGTAAAATGAAACATCTAGAAACTAAGATAGGAGTACATCTTCATGACCTTGGGATCACGAAGCCATAAAGGAGATGCATGCAGTGAGCATGTAAAGGTGTGTTCAAGAATGTTCCTAGCAGCATTGTTTGTAGTAGTCTCAGACTGGAAACGACTCAAATGTCCATCAACAACACAATGGATAAATACATTGTGGTGTATTCATACAATGATATAAACAGATTCTGGTATATGCATACAGCAATGAAAACAAACTATTATACACAAATCATGGGTAAACCTCACAAACGTTACCTCCTGGGAAAGAAGCTAGTCCTCCCCCACCATACTGGATCATTCCACATATATATAGAATACGTAAAAACATAGGGAAAGAAAACAGATCAGTGGTTTCCAAGGACTGGGGGTGGGGAGAGGGATTCCACAAAGGGCACGAGGGAATTTGGGGGGGTGATGGAACTGTTCTGTGTCCTGATTGAGGCTGTGATAAACACAATGCTATGTATTTATCAAAACTCACAGAACTGTACACTCTAAAGGGTAAATTTCACGGTATGTAAATTATATTTTAGTTTTTAAAAGTCTTAAGATTTAAAACTTTAAAAAGGAGACGAAACTGATCTATGGACATCAGGAGAGTGGTTACTTTGGGAAGGAGGAAGCTGCCTTCTGGGAGGCTGGGACTGTTCCATTTCTTTACCTGGGCAGTGGTTGCTCAGGTGTGTTCACTTTGTAATAATTCACGGGGCTGCACTTATTGTGCAGTGTTCTGTGTATTCTATTTCGACTTTAGAAAGAAACAATATATATCCAGGGTATATGATATCTGTTTAAGCATAGTGAGAGAGGCATGTTAATCACATAATCACATCAGTTGATACACAATTACAAACTGATAAGAATGTTGGAGGGAAAGCAAGGAGACTCCATGAGGGTGCATATTAGGGTGCTGTTCCAGTCTGGGAAGCTTCCCTGAGCACTTGAAGCCTATGTGGAAGACGTGAGGGAAGGACGCAGTTAACGCTGCCGGAGGCAGCCTGGAAAACGCTTTCCAGACAGAAAGAACCGCTGAAGGTGGTCCTTCCCCTGACTGAAAGGCCGAGAGACTGGAGCACAGGGAGGAGGAAGAGAAGAAGGAGGGGCAGCCTGGGGCTTCTCATCTGTCACGTTGTCTGCAGGTCTGCCACGCTCCGGGCTGTCTCCTTTCTCTGCACCAGACCAAACTTCTTTTCAGTCACACTAGGACAGAAACTGCAGGACACAGAAAGTCAGAGACTAGGCAGGGCCCACTGCCCTTGTTTCCCTCTCAAGGGCCAGAGCCCTGCCAGATGGGTCTATGCAGCTTCCAGCCTCCTCGGGGGGTGGGTGGGGGCGTGGGGATAGGGAGGTGACACACTGGGTGAGCAGCGGAGGGGGATTTCTGGGCCTCAGAGTCTTATCGCTCCCTCTATGATGGGGGTGGTGGCAGCTGAGTCTCTGGTACAGTTCAAAAGGTGTGGGGAGTGGGGTGGTAAGGGGATATTTTGACACTTGTTATTATTTTCCTCAGCACAGAAATTGTGGGCCCATGGTGACAACCCATCAGAACTACTTTGACCTCCCTTTGGGACACCAAGGGACAGGTTTCTCAATAGTCAATATTCAAGGAAAGAAAGTGAGTAGGATATTCAAGGCAAGAAGAACTTTCCACGAGGAAGTCGCCAAGTTGTAAATAGATTCTCCCAGCTTAACCTGCAAAGGGCACCAAGCTCTCAGGTGCTATGCTGAAACCATGCACAATGGTCTCACTCTAACACGCCCATCTGCTTCCCATACGAAGCAGAAAACAGTCTAAGGTTGTGTCAGGGGGTCTCCATGTGCAGGTGACTTTCCCAGGGTCTCCTGTTACTGAGATGCCTGCACGGGAGGTCTTTTCAGTTCTGACAATGATGCTACATGTCTGTGGAGGCCCACAGAGAAGAATAGAATGTTGGAGCAGGAAGAGTTCTTTGGGAACAAGTCAAACCTCCTTGTTTTGCAGATGAAGAAATGGAGACGCAGAAAATTTCAGAGCCCTTTTCCAAGACACACAGCTGGTCAATGACAGAGCCAAGATTTGCATGTCCAGTCCCCTGATATTCTAATCCAATGTTCAGTCTCCTGCTCCACTCTGCCCAGTTCTACACACGTCCATAGAAGGAAGTTCCATGAACTCTGGTAACCCGTTTCCATGTGATAGCAGCTGGATCTTGATGAAAGACAAATATTAACCACCTCTGGCATTAATAGCATTAGATGATGCTGAACATAATTTGATTTGTTTGTGCATGCTCCCCTGCTGCCTAAGAACTGTTTCACACATGGATGTCTCATTTTCCTTGGAAGCCTTCCCAACTTCCTCAAACACTTTGTCGGCAATTCCACCAGTTCCTTTGTATCCAGCCCAGGAACAGTTATTCTAAAACTTTCTATTTTAGAGTTTTAAATATTTACTAAAATTGATCCCCATGTAACTATCACCCAGGTCAACTATGATCATCCATGGACAATCTTGTTTCATCTACCTACTTCCCCCTCCTGTATACTTTGAACAAGAGGCCAGAGGAAGATTGGCAACAGATGTTAGCTCAGGGCCAATCTTCCTCAAAAAAAAAAAAAGAAGAAGAAGATTCCAGATATATCATCTCATCTATTTAGCATGTATCTCTAAAAGGTAAGGACACTTTAAAAATAACCACAAAACCAGTATATCACCTAAAATTTTTAAAGTTGAGGTTAATAATTCCTTAATATCATTAAATGTCCATTTAGTGTTCAAATTTTCCAATATCTAGTGTCTCCACTTTTTTGTTGTTGTTTACAGTTTGCTTGAATCAGGAGCCAAATACTATTGCCATTGGTTGATAAGTCTTTTAGATCTCTTTTCATCTACACGTTCTGTCTCAATTTCCTCACAATTTATTTGTTGAAGAAACTGGGTCATTTGTCCTACAGGGTTTCCCACAGTCTGGACTTTGCTGACTGCATCCCCATGGTGTCTGTTAGCCTGTTTTTCTGCCTCTTGTATTGCCTATGAATTCATTTCATTATAATTTTCTCTTCATGGTCTCTCCCTCACTAGACTGTGAGCTCTTTGAGAACAGGATGGTGTTTTATTTATCTTCGCCTACCCAGAGCCTAGCGCTGTAAGTGCCCAATAAATGGGTGAAGAAATGAACGAAGTCGGGAGGCTGTGTTCTTTCCTCGTGTGGGAAAAGGGAAGGTTCTAGAATCAGGATTGGACTTTGGTTCCACCGTTTGTTCTCTGGGGGACCCTGGGCAAGTCACTTATCCTCTCTTGGGCCCGGTTCCTTATTTCTAAAATGGAAGCAATAATAGTGTCCACCTCATAGGAGCGATGTGGGGCTTAAATGAGGAAACACATGTAAAATGCTTAGCAGAGTGCCTGGCATAGGGTAAGCACTCAATTAAATGGTAGCTATGGTTATGAAAGTTCTACTAACTGACATTCTGTAGTAGTCAAGAGAGGCTAGGTCAAGCTGAAGTAGTAAATTAATCCCTAAATCTCAGGACTTAGTGAGACAAAGACTTTTTTTTCTCGTTCACATTACATGCCCAGGGTAAGTCAGCGGATGCCATACTCTACGCGGTCACTCAGGGATCAGAATGCTTCCACCTTATGGCTCCTCCATCTCAATATGTGGCCTCGGCAGTCACCGTGGAAGGGCAAGAGAAAAGTGTGAGGTCACACAATGGCTCTTTGCTTCTGCCTGGGAGTGGCATGTATCACTTCCACTCACATTTCATTAGAGCTAGAACTCATCATAAGAACCCACTTAACTGCAAGAGTGCTAGGAAGTGTAAACTCCCCATGTACCTAGGAGGGAGAAGAGAATTGCATAGGGATGAGTGCTCAGAGTCACTATTGTACATTCTGTTTGTCTGTGATTAAGTGTTAGGATGGTTGCAAATATCAGTGGTTCTGGTGTATTTCTAACAAGCAAGGAGCAATTCTTGGACATCATTCCGTTGAAATTTAGAACCATCACCTGAGAGAACAATCTATTCTCCTCCATACAATAGAGTGGTCCTTCGTAATAGAAATCAGATCATGTCCCTCTCCTGTTTTCAGTTCTCCCATGGCTTCATAATACACTTAGAATAAAAACTGTATCTTTTACCGTGGGCTTCAAAGTTCTTCTTAATCTGTCCCCGCCCTGGTTTCCCGCCACTTTTCTCACTCAGTGCGATCAGCCACACTGTTCTCTGTGCTGATCCTTGAATGTATCAAGCAAGTGCTGGTCTGAGGCCAATGCCGGCATTGCTCTCCCCCGGATATCCCAGTGACAAATGTCCACATTTAATTCAGGCTTCTGCTCACATATCACCACATCAGAGAGACTC